CTGTCGGTCACTTTATTTCTTTGTTTTCAGCCCACTCGCAATTATAGAGAAAACATTTCTTGTTATATCAAAGATCGTTGTTCCGTAAGAAAGCCTAGAACGGACCCGGATGTCATTATATCGTCTCGAGTGTTCCATCGTCAAAATTCCATGATACTTTTTATGTGGAACATCCGCATTCATGGGTTCCTGCGTTGTAGACCACGCTTAAGAAGTTACAGACCGGACGAGAGACTGGTTTTCTCCGAAGGATGCTTTTCAGCATCGTCACTGCGCGCTGGCAAGGGTGCGAAGAGCGAAAAGGATCGAGAGAACTTGGTTTATTTTTTACTTCCATGACGACCTTGCCAGCCGTGCAAGGATCTCCGCGTTTCTTGACCCCTGCTGGGTATCTTTCTCCCCGGATCCGTTGTGCTTATACCTTGCTCATCTTCGTCGCCGATGGTCCCGGGAGGTAAACATTCTACCAGGAACGGAGGGGACTACTTCTTCTTCGTCGAAGTCGTTTTACTTGATGAGATTCGCGAAACTCGACTGCGCTTTGGTGTAATTTTCTGGAATCTTGCTTATGGCGGTGTAATCGCATCTTAAAAATAAATCACTTGCTTTGTTCCGAGGTGCAATATAATTTTTATGTGAACGCTGTTTGTTGATTGGTGGTACATTGAACGTTAATGGAAATTATTTTCAAAATAAGATAAAGCAGATATTCCGTCAGTATTTGAAATGTCATAAATAATGACATTAAATCTATTCCACTTTCAATCTTTAAATATACAAATAAGAGCTATTACAAAATTCTGATAATAAATTTCACCTGCTTTTTTATCTTGTTATCACGTTTATGTGTTTTTCTCATATTTTAGCTATTAATATATGCAGATTTATTTATCTATATTTATATCTCAAATATCCTGTTATTTTTTTTATACGTTTATACGTTGGAACATATTTTAATTTTATGCTCTACACCTATATTAATTATCTATTTATATCGGTCGAAGCGTAAATGCGGCGAAGAAAGCTGGCTGCTAATCCAGATTTAATGACTGCGGATTTAAACTCATTACACGCGCATCGAGTTTTATGTCGAACATCACAGGCATCCCGCCATCTCTGCCAGTACGATAATCATGATTTACGAGCTATAATTTAATGTAAACACCGAGGAATTGAGGAACTAACTAAGCGCAGTTAGGGGCTTTCCTAATTAGCACATTGATTTGCTTATATTAACAGACTCTAACAGCATTAAGTAACTCTTATTTCTTAGAGACAGTGGTGACGTTGTGTCGCCAGACGCCTTGCGCAGCGTTCCGTTTCAACCGGTAAAACTTTACACCGACTTGCGAATTAAGCAGACGTCATCTCACGAATTCGTGCAATCCGTTAAATCCCGTGAAAGTGGATATAAATTATCTTTATAGAGGCAGACGCTTTCGAAATTTTTGAGGCATACGGCGCCACACATTTTTCTCATAAAAATCGTAAACATCCGACAAAATGTTAAGCGTGAAATATGTGAAAGCCGCCTACACAATGGAAGTTAAATACTTCTTAAATGATGAGTGTTTTTTAATTAAACAATGTGTAAATTAATTCATTATTTCCACATACGTCGAATTATATTTTATGTCGAGGATTCTTTAATATCTGTGTTTCGATCTCTTTGGTCCTCATCGCCAATAAAGGGTATCGCGACACTCAAATGAATCATTCGATGAGTTATCGATCGTTATTTTCAGTAACAGCGTGCAAATTCTCGGGCTCATTGTGCACGATACCATGTGACTATACGACGGTATCAAGGTCGTGTGACGAGTGGAGCGAACTGATCGTGTATCGAAGCAATTGATCACTCGAGAACAATTTTAGTTTGAACATTTTGCGGTGCTTTGTGTTTTTCAAATGTACATCGATATATTTTCAGATGTATTTTCCGTTTAAAAATCCAACACAATAATAAAACATTTAATTGTTTTTTTTTTTTAATATAGGGTTACACGAATCTGATTTTGTAGAAATTATTGATAATTTTCCGTCATCAAAACTTGCTGCATCATCATTTAAAATAGTATTGTTTTTGTGTAAAATTTAGCTCTACAAAAACATATCTCTTAAAGAGAATAACAAATAAATATGGCGCAATATACAGGGTGTCTGGCAATAATCGCCCCACCGGTCATATACAGGTAGAGGAGGTCAAATCGAGTAGAAAAGTCCTTTACCATTTTTTAATTTTCATAATAAGTACTGAGTAATTAACGAAAAAAGATCGGCGAATCCGCGCGAGTAAAGCGCGCGCGGTGAGAAGGACGTCCCACTG